GCAGCCCGCCCTGGCCTGCTGCCGCCCCGGGGCGAGGGAGGGGGGCTGCCAGAGGGCAAACCCCGGTCATTCACTCCTTTTATTTTTGGTTTTCTTTTTTTCCTCTGACTTGCGTGACCAGGTACGAAGAAACTACCAACGAGCTCATTAACGAGGAGCTGGGCATTGCGTACCCCGTCATCGACGGCATCCCCAACATGATCCCTGAGGCTGCCAGGAAGACGCAGACGGAGCCCCCAGCTGAGGGCTCGCAGCAGCCCTGAGCACCCACCAGCCACGGCGGTAACTGCGGCCGATGGCCAGAGGAGGCATGCTCCCCTCCCTGCCCACGCTGACTGTCCTTGTGCCCCTCCTGTCCCTAGCAGGCTTGTTTTACTCAGCCAGCGTCGACGAAACCTTCCCCCGGGGATGCACCAGCACAAACAGCTTGTGTTTCTACAGCCTTCTCCTGCCTATTACAATACCGGTTTATGTGTTCTTCCACCTGTGGACCTGGATGGGGATTAAGCTTTTTAGACACAACTAATGTGATGCATTTGCTAACCCCTGGGCTTCTCTAAAGCAGCACCATTTGTTTCATCTCATCAGGTATTGCAGTTGGTTTGAGAGAGTTCTGGTGCTAGTGACTGGCATCGTTTTCCTACTAGTATCTGGACCTGTATGGCATCCTCTGCAGCAGCCTATTGCTTAATTACTCCTAAGGCAGATAAAGAGGAGGAATAAAAAGAAGCACTAATTCCTGCTCATATATCCCTTCAAGAGTGTTGTGTGTTTGTAGTGGCGCTAAGGAAAATCTAGGTGGCGATCATTTTTACAAGGAAGAACTGTACCCTGACTGAAATAACTGATCTTAAATAATAACCAATGCCAATCTGCAGCAGTATGAGTCTCTGCTTGGATTAAGAGCTTTGGTTTTTGTTTTGAACTGATGTGTGTACTGAAATGTATTTGGCTCACTGTCAGAAGTACATAAAATAAATTAAGATGATGTTTAATAACAAAACTAGAGTTTAGTGAAATTTACTTGCATGATACCCATGTCTGTGTGTCCAGTAGCTGCTTGCTTGCCTTTTTTTTTTTTTTTTAAGAAAAAAGATGGGGAAATGACAGCACTGCAGAAAACACGTGCATTTGGGGGTTTTGTTAGAGTGGCCTCCAACATGTTCCAGTGTCTGCTCAGGAGATGTACGTCCCTGTACTATTTGCTTAATGTGTCTGAGTGCCCAAGTTTCATAACAGGCTGGGTCATCTTCATTCACAAGTCATCTCCTGACACAACTGAGCCCAGGATTTGCTAGCCAAGTCAGCAGCTACAAATGCTGTTTAAGTATGTATCTTAGCACCATGTACTCCTCAGTAGAGAGGGAACAGAAGATAGTTCTGCTAAATTCTTCAACCTTCCCATTTTCATTTACAGCAACACCAGAGAATGGAGTGACAGACCACTACAAAGGTGTTAGGTGCAAAGAACGATGTGCTTGGCACTGTCTGACAAAATGTCTTCACAGGACACAGCTATGAAGGGGACAGGTTAATGCTAGTATAAGCTATTACACGGGTTTCTTTTTTTATGTTTCCTTACTAGGTGGTTTGTATCTGCAACACAGACACATGAATGTCCTTTACGGGCTGAAAAGCTCAGAAAATGCAGCACCAGGCTGTAAATACTGCAGACCTCAGTGTCTCTTGGTGGGATCCTAATAATGCAGTGGAATTGATCAGGCTGCTGCTGGGCAAATAGTGCTGGAATGCACAGTATGAAAGGCAGTGCCTGCAAGAGCACTGTATTCGAAGGCTGACTCTAGCTGTTCATCGGGGCTTCATGTGCAATCAGTGGAGAAAGACTCTAGATACACCCTGTGCTGGTGACTGATAGGGCATGTGGTCCCTGAGCAACATTACCCCAAAGCACCTTCATGGTAAATAGCACTGCCACTTGCATTTAACTTATGCCAACAAAGCTTGATGGCCACCTGGAATAACAATAAAATATGACCCTCTAGATTTACTCTACATCCCCTGTGAAACATGTTTTATAATAATTTGATGAGTAGTTGTTTTGTTGTATACTCAGTGAATACCGAAACACTTCTACCAATACTTCAGTAACACTGAAAACCAAAGAACCCTGCAGCAATATGTTTAGACCTAACAAATAATATACTCGGGTATCTTACCTTTAAGATCTTCTTAAATTGCTGGGTTGGAGCGTTATTTAAATGTGTCCATATGTCTTCCAGAAGGCACTGTCTTCTGACTGGAAAAACCCACTGTTCCTGGCCCGAACATATTAACGGTATCTGAAGATTGAAGTAACAGTGTGTTAGCACTGTGTTTATCTTCTAAATTGTAAAAAATAATTTGCCACACTTACATCTCTGAAGCACTGGGACAGAAAGCTGCGTTCTACAGAATTAATTTCAATCTTGTCTTGCATGTCAAAGATGCACGGATACTTGGTCAGCTCCCACAGGACCATCTGAAATGACAAGGAAGAAGGAAAAAGACGTGTTGATTTTCTCTTGCAAAATCAGAGTTCGGGGGTACATGTGCAGACCAGTTCAGTCTGTACCCTGGCAAACTCCTGTATCTTTGAAACATGCCCTTGCTGTGTACACGAACACTACACCAACAGAGGCGTGCTTTCTAAAAGCAGCTTCTAAACACTTCTGTGAGAGAGAAATCCTGAGGGAGACACATCTGAACTGTCTGTGCAGGCAGATACTTGTGTTACAGGTATTAACAGGAGTTAAACAGAGAGATAGTGATTTTAATAGCACCTTCCATAATTCAGCCAAACCAAAACACACAGTAAAAATGTCCTGGATACACAGATGATGGTACCCTGTTGTTAAAAACTGTTGGGTTTATTGTCTAGAATACCAAAAGTAGATACCGGTGTACAGAATAATTTAATTCAAAGTGTTACACCTGCAGCATGATAAGGCAGCAACTTCAGGTAATGTCCTGTTTGGCTTTTGGTTCTGTACTGTTTCTCAAACCTCCTCCTCCACTCTGGTTAATTGGTACAAAATTGGTACATTAGCAAATGAAAGCTAATGAGAGAATTAGGCATTTGCCCTGTGAATTCCAGACAAGTTGCCAGAAAAATGCATTTTTTTGCCTAAGGAAGCACCTACTACCCACATTTCCACTTCATGCTGCTCCTAGGACACTGATTGCACTTGGTAGCTAATTTTCACTCCTTCATGTCATCAAGAAACGAACCAGTTCACAGCTTATTTTTCATTACCACAGCTTTGGTTTTAGATGTCAGCAAACTGAAATGCTCAATAGGGTTTCTATATAAAAGTTTAAAGAGACCTCACAATATTTCTGTTAATTAAACATAGTAAAATCCAGAGTAACAAGAAGTACAGCAACCATCCCTCGTGGTGCTATTTCACACTCATCACCAGCTCAAAGCAAACAGAGCTGCTGAAGATGCTGGAGGACAGCTCCGACTCTCAGAACCAGGGGCCATGTCAGGACAGGCACTACTGTAGCTGCTGAAGTACTGGGATGGGAACGGGCTTGCATAATTTAGAACTGCTGGAGGACTAGGGAAAATGCATTGCCTTTGAGATGTACTGGGCTAGAGTTTAGAGATAATTTTCATATATATCGACTCATTTAAATAAAACAGGGAAAAAAAGTGGTTTGCACTGCTGGTAAGATTTTGCACTTACTTCATTTACACTAAGGAACCAACAAAATCTGATAATCTCTTTCACTTGAGGCACATAGAAGTTGTTTTCCTGCACTCTGAAGCCAGTTCTGGAGTTCACCTGCATTGATACACACAATAGGAACAGGGTTGTCAGCACATCTAGTGAGCCATCTGTGGCTGAACAGGACTGAGGAGTCACAGGGCTCTCTGCAGCCAGAGCTCCGAGACCCTGCACAGAAGCGGAAGACTTGAAACGCGACAAACAGCGCAGCACTCAACAGGACTCCATCAGGCATGTTTCACTTTTGACTGTCTTTCCTGTTGCAGGTGAATCTGAAGTTCCCTATTCATGTTCATACTTGGTGCCTGGCAAATACAGGATTTTCAGGGAGACAGTGAGCACGTAAAGCTCCAAATGCTGCAACCACTTACAGAGGAGCGGGCTGGCCACACTTTTGAGTTTTACCCAGTGGATAAATACACATTCAAGAGTCCAAACTTCGAGGCCCAAATCAGCCAGAAGGATACTCAATTCTGAACAAAATTTAATGACTCTCTCTGATTCATAGCAAGTGCATGCTTGAGCTCTTGACTTTCCTAAACTTTGAACACCTCAGACGGAGAAAGGCTGGCTGTCAAGAACACAGCCATTACCCCCAAATCCAACCGCTTTCTCACCTGGTAAAGATTCTGCAGTACGTGCAGAGTCCCTGATTCATGTGGGTGCAGGTAGAAGGGCTGTCTTTGCAGACTTATGACTTCTATCATAAATAGAAACAGGTTTGTCTGGGAAACCCTCTGATACAGAACAACCAGCTCCTTGAAAAAGGATGTTTCTAGGTTTGACCACAGGCATTCTGTAAAGAAAACAGCTAGTGAAGCATCCGTCACAGGTAACATGCAAATAACTGCAATTTCTGGATGAAGCTGCGTTTTCTCTTTTTATCAAATGAACTAAACCAAAAAGATGCTTAATTTTGCACTATAAAAATTTTAAAAAAAGAAACCAAAACAGAATGAGATTTTTTTTTTTTCTTGTGTCTTGCTGTGTTGTCCCATGTTTCTACTTCTACTGAAAGCACTTCCCCCAGGCTAAACTGCGGAACCAATTACACCAGTGATACTAACTCTTGCTCCACAGCCAGAAAGGACCAAACATTTAAATAATTCTGTTCTACCGCTATTAAACCCTACCAAGAGTTTGCAGGTCCTTTGGCTGGAGTTTCGCGATGGCTTGTGCTAGCAGCATGAGAGAACGGAAGGAGCTGTCATCCTCTCCCTGCAGAAGGAAAGGCAAGATCAAGTAGACTCTGAAATTTTCAGGTGAGATGGGAGAGGAAGACAACGATGGCAGTAACTTCTCAATCTCCTTTTGCACCTTCAGAGGAGAGAAAAAAAAATTAAAAAAAAAAAGAGACAAGAATTAAAATTGCAATTATGTTTTCCCAAAATCTCCTATGAATTAGGTTGGCACAAAATTAAGAAGTTTCATGCACAAATCCAGAGGTCCTCAGTATCTGTGTAAGTGAGAATCCTTACACTGAATCCTTACCTCCTGGAAGATTGGTGGCTTCTTGCTGACTTTCTTATAAAAACGTTGCACTGCTGACATGTCTACACCCGAGACTGCTTTGGAAGTTTTGAAATGTTTGTCTCTATCACAAAGAAAAAAAGAACACTAAATGATGTGAGAACATGTTTTTTGCTACCTACTGGTAATGAAGCATCCTAACATCAGAAAAAATACTTGGAAAGTTCAGCCCTGACTCCAGTGGGTACCATTTCATCTGTTCTAAGAAAATATTCCTTTGGTGGTGTGACCTGGTTAATATTCTGTCCTTGGCTTGTGTAGCTGGTCACTGGCAATTTGAGGTTTCCTGTATTTCACCCTAAAACTACTTGCACTTCAGTGCTGGAAGGAGCTATTATGGATCCTTTGGGAGCTGTAATACTGCCTAAAGGGATCATCATCATCCCTCAAGTGTCACTCTGGGATAACCTGCTAGAATGTGAGCTTCCATAGCAAATTTCGACAGGACTGAAGGGGATAAAAAAAATTAATTTTAGTTTGAATTTTGAAAAATACAGACTTGCTTCTTGCAAATTCAGATACAACTAATCTTCTCTACATCCCTGGCCTGAAGTAACACTTTCTGGCCAGTTTACATGCAGCCAGGACGTTCTGTTACATCCAAGTCAGCACACGCTACCTTTTCTCCAGGAAGCTCCCGTTGATGCAAGCCTCGGATGAGAAGATCAGCCTGATATTCCTGACAGTGAAAAACAAAACAAAAAGTCAACCCTTTCAACATGAGCAGCAACTTTAAAATTCTGAAAGAACAAAAGCCACATATACAAGCATGTCTGCAACTTTTCTTAGCACCACTTCATTGAGGGGGTTGTAGCACATTGAGGGAAAATCCATCAGGGTATCCACTTGCTGCTGCTGCACAAAATCTGGGTTCCCAGCGCCTGAAGGAACATCAGACTTACTCACTACCTGTATTCCTGGTTCTCTTCTTATTAAAGCAGCTATTTTATCAGACAATTTGCTGTTCAAGATCTCCAACAACCACTTTCCATACGATCCAAACCGTACTAAAAGTGGTCAGGGAAATATTTAGATCCAAATCACCTAAGATTTTTAAATAGTCAAAATCAGCAGCTGTAGTCAGACTTTACCAAAGAAAATTGCCACCCACGTAAGATCTGAAAAAAAGACTATGTCACCGTAATTCTCAGCTATGAGCGTAAGGCTTTGCACAGCAGCATACACTCGCTGCTTTTGACAATGGGTCACTAAAGGAGGGATCACAAATTTTTAAATGCTGACACACACAACACATTCCGGTTTGGGTATTTTAAGTTATGATTGTTACATAAGGCCTCGGTCTGCAGGCTGAATCTTTCACTGATTTAACTTGTCAGCTCTTCAATAACTTAACAACCGTTCCCTGCAAGATGACAGAACACAGACAGTACATCTGCTCTGTTCCCACAAAAGGGTTATCGAAGGGCTGTTGCTTATCAATGTCTTTTTCCTGTGCAAAAACTAAGAAACAAGTGCTGGTACAAGATTCTGTCTCAGCTAAATTCTCGAGGATCAGTTCCTACAATAGTCTCCAAAGTATAATAATTTTTAGAGAAAATCATATATCAGGGATAAAAAAAAAAAAACGCAGCAGGTTTCCGACTTACTTTTTTACACTCTCCCAGTGTTGCGAATTGGAATTAGAAATCAACGCATCCACATCTTCATCCCTCAGAGTGGCAATACCATTCAGATAGGAATCCTATGTGAAATGCATGAAAATATTGCCAAGATTACAGGTCTAGCAGATGGGATTCTTTTTTTCAAGGCAATCATTACAAGAAGGTTTCAGCCCAGGTATGAATGAATTAATGGTCATCCAGCACGATCCGGATGTATTAAGCACAGAACAGATATACAATTTCAATACAAGTTAGTTTCTGCATAAGCATGGAAAGAACTGCAAGAGATAGATATGAACCTGGGGCACTAAAAGCAGGATGGAAAATCCAAATGTTCCCAGCAGTAATGTGAACAATGGTAACATAAGAAGCCGTGGTCAAATACGCACGTACCTTGCTCTTCTCGCAAAGGACAATACTTCGGTTTCCTCCTGCAGTAATTTCAATCACCTTTTGTGACATTTTGTTTTCTGTGAAAGAATAAAAAGATTTTCAAAGGCACATTTGAAGAGAGAGTCATTATCTTCAGAGAGTTCAGTGAACAGATGGGGAACAGTAAAAAAACCCCTTAGATAGTAGCTGTCTGTCCATAAGCTGATTCTGTGTGGCCATTACCCATGATGATAAATCAAGCAGCAAATGGAATTATCCATTGCAGAATCTGTTGGGATGACCAAGCAAGCATGAGACACAATGTTACCCTCTCAGTGTAAACATGAACTCAAGAAAGCAAACATCTCCCTGGAAGAAACGAATACAGATTGTCCACATCTGCAGTGGTCCTTACTCTGACAGGATTTTCCAGTATTCACTGGTGGATCGATGGGAAGTGGTATCAGCTGATCAGGCTTTCTCTCATCTCCCAGCTTTCCTTCTTCACCAGAACCAAACGAGTAGACTTTGTCCAAGGAGGGGACGTAGACCAGGGTGTGCTGTCTGTTCAGAAAAAGAAAAATGGTCGGAATAAGCTAATGCCACTGGGCTAGTCAGAATAAAATTTACAGATGTGTTTTCACAGTGGATAGCTGAGGCTTGCCTTTAAAAGTCCTGACAGTCCAGCTAGAGAATCCCTAAGACCTTGACCTTAGAAGGAAAGTTATCGGTACTTTCTCACCTGCCGCAGGCAACCTGTGAGACTCTTGCTCCCCACAGCTCGGCTACCACACGAGGTAGGAGTTCATTGCGGGTGGAGTTGTGACCAAGCTGGCCAGCCCCTCCTGCTCCAAAGGTGCACACCAACCCCTCCTTGAAGATGAAGAAACAAACAACAGGATCACCGCATTATTAATGGCATTCAAACGGTCACCACCAAGAGCAAGAGCCAGCGAGACGGAATATGTTCCATGGGACTTGATTCAAAACATCTCTGGTTCAAACACAGGCAGAGCTCACTTTTCGCATCAAGCCTAATCTTACATTGTCTAATGCCCAAATCATTTAACTCCTGAGAAAAGCAATTTAACTGCGGAGAATATTCCCCTGTTGTTTAAGAGTTTTACTTGTATGGGTAAACCCTAGTGAATTAGGGTAAACCCTAGTGAATTAGCTATTGTTCACATTTTCTGTTGCCCCCAAAATGCTACAAAAAAGATAACTTTCAAAAAGCACTCAGAGTTGAACTGCACCTCTCTGCCCCAGGATTCCCATTCACCATCTCCCTGCAAAAGTTTGCACGCAGGTGACGGGAATGTGAGGAAAGGACAGTTTTCCCATTAGCTTAGTTAGCATCCCTTGGGGATTGTCGTCAGACTGGGATGAAAGCAGGCGTTGCCATCCCAGTTTCTCCGTGCTGACTTTCAGCAGTGTATCTTTTCTCACAGCATGAGGGCTCAGATGCTGACTTTCCATTTCGGACGCACCTTGGAGAGAGCTGCGGTGTGATCTGCCCCACAGGAGATAAATACAGTCTTCCAGTGCTCTAATGCTCCCACATATGATGGGCAGTCCCTGTCTGGGAAGAAGATAGCAGTGCTAAAGTGAAAGAGTACTGGGGGGTCTCACACAAAGAAAGATTTAGAAAACAGTTCTTTAGCACTTTTCAGTCCTCTCTTACAGCAATTCACGTATTTACAACTTGGGTTTGAGTTCTTTCTGCCCTCCACTATAACATACTCTTTCTTGTAATGTTCTGTTTTTCTCGTAATATTTTCATTTATATTCATTCTGAAACAAAACGCAGAGCTTTCACACCTGCTTGCCAAAAGGCTTCACAATATGACTCTCAAGCGAGTGGACTTATTCAGATCCTGCTGACTTCAGGCTCTGTCTGGCTACGGCAACTCTGCTCTAGCCTTCTAGGTTTGACGACAGTGTGTGATCTTAATTGTTCTCTCACCTTGTGTTTACAGAGAATTTCCTTCATGCGAGACTGCCTTGAGAGAGAGTGGGAGTGGAAAGAGACCTTCTTACTGCTTTACTCTCAAACTGCTGTCCTTCCTTACCTTCCGTGTCTCCTAGTCCCAGCTGTCCGAAATCATTCTTTCCCCAGGAGTACACAGCTCCAGAGAGTGACACGGCGATGCTGTGAGCTCCTCCAGCAGCGATCTGAGCGAGCGGGATGCCCTTCAGCCTTTCCACCAACTGCGGCTGGGCAATGAGCGTGGTTTGGCTTCCCACTCCCAGCTGTCCATGGGCATTCTGGCCCCAGGCGAAGAGCTCACCTCCTTCACGCACACAACAAAAGAAAACAGCTCAGCCTCACTCCTTCCAGTGAGGAACCTTGGCACTTTGGGAGTGGGAGCGAAAAATCAGTGCTGTTTCCAGGGACCTAGCTCCAAGGTGAGACTATGATCTGTAGCCACATCTGCCTGTTTGCCTCTGACCCCTTTGGGGCAGTCCCACGCTGCCTGTGTGACTCAGCACAGCGAGGATAAAGGCAGGGTGTTTCCACCTCTAAAGCCATATATTTGCAAGAAGTTCCCAACCCAGAGAGGTGCTCCAACTTCAGAAAGAGCAAGTCTGGTGCCTGCAGAGTGGGGCAGCCACGTCTGCTCTCCACACCTTTGTGGAGGGGGAGCACTAAGGAACTGGAGAGGGACAGAGCTGGAGGTCCCTGGGTGCTGGGAGGAAAGGGCAGCTCCCCTTTGGTGTCACCAGCTACTGGAAGCAGTTCAAACACTCCCTTGGGAGCGCAAGCCTGCCATAACATGAGTCCCATTTGGAGGAACAGTGTGCTTGAAAGAGGCTACCTCTGGACAGAGCCATGGCGTGGTGGTCCCCACATGCTATTTGAACAATATCTTGATTTCCTAGTTCTTTCATCAGCCTGCAAAAATAAGGGGAAAAAAAACCTCAAATCAAAATAGATAGATGCTGTGCCATGAGAAAAATAAAAAAGATCCTCTGCTCCCCAAGTCCCAGCACTTTTAATAGGAATTATGAGGAAAACTATAGGTCACTTTAGCTGATTCCCCCTGCCCTGATGCTAGCCTACTGCAGCTGTGTGTGATGTGATTATGGTTTGCACCATGGGAAGCTGGGAAAGAATCAGGCTCAGCCCTGGGCAAGTTAACGGGAAATGCCACAGCAAACTGCTGTACCATTTTAGATGATGGTTACCCTCACGGCTTAATCGGAAGGTGGCAAGGTTCAGATGTGCTTGAGTCTTTCATCTGCAGCTTTCCCAGGCCACGAGTGGTTTGCAAGTCATCTGCATTACTCCAGTATATGCTACCGATCCTTACCAAGTTTGAGAAAAAGCTGTCTCATGTGCATCTCAAGCAGCTCAGATCTTGGTGTTATCCTCAAAATCAGTGCACTAGGTAACCAAAGAAGATAAAGTTTTGGGGTACTAGGAATGAATGCGTTCCAGTTTCCTCCCTACAACAGGAACACGCCTCAGTCTCTTGGATGTTATCTTTAGGAAGAGTGATAACCACCTTCTCTGACTGTTACCATCCATACCTCCACCCCGTGAATGCTTCTTACCTTGTCTTAGAGCGGCCAGCTGAAGCTGTAGCCCACTGTTCATAAAGCTTCCCATCAGCGGAGAGAACAAGAAGATGTGTTTCATCATGGTTTGAACACTGCAGCTTCTTATTCCTCTGTGACTGCCTGAGCTCTGCAGAACAAATACGGCCAGGCACGACGGCCACTCTAAGGCAGAGGACATCTCAGCCATCTCAGCCCCCTCCCCAAGATCTCTGTGTGCTATCACTTTCACCAAGAGCTTCTGTTGCTCAGGAAGAAGTGAGACAAGTGTGTATGACTTATTTTCTGAGGGTCTTTGGCATTTCAGTGTCCTACCCACTGCTGGCTTTCATACCAGACAACTCTCCTGGCTGTCAGTAAAATATATTTCTCCATCTCTTGGGCTGCTGTGCCACCAGCTCCCAGGACAATGAGCAAAACATCAGCAGGAGCACGTTCTGTTGCTTCTGCACAGCTCTGAAGTGTCCTGGGGAGATAAAGCCCTTCCCGAGGTATCTGCCCACCCCAGATATGTCACAGCTTTGGGGATGGGATGCCTTGAAGTCAGATGTCTTCCACCAGACAAGCAACGAGGGAAGGTTCACGCATTGCCTATTCCCAGCAGAAGGACCTCCCTTCCCGGCTGCAGCTGATGGGCTGCAGGTGCTGTCCTGACCCGCCCGCCCGGTG